CGTCCGTACTCGGTGGGGATGGTCCGTTTTCTGGTGCTGGCAGCCTTAACATTCCCTTAGGTTGCTGCTGCTGGGGGGAAAAGTTGGCTTGAGGTGGCTGCTGATAATTGTTATTAGACCACGAGAAGTGAGGGTGGTTTCGCCACCCTGGGTTGTATGTGTTCGAATAGGGGTCGTTCCCGGGCCGGTTCTGATATCCCTGAAGTGCATTAACTTCTACATTCTGTCCTCCATAGCTCGGATCCATAGCCGATGGACACATTTCTGAACTGTGTCCCTGCACTCCACATGCACCACAAGCATTTGCCGCCATCGTCTGAATCGGTGAGGAGCTTCGAGCATTCAATAATCGCATCTGCTCCGTGAGCTCGGCTAACTGTTGGGCCATGGCATTATTGCTCGAGCCAATCTCATTCACTGCAGGTCTCTTTCCTCTAACACTTTTATGAGACGAGTTAGCACTCATCGTCTCATAGATAGAAATTATCTCTTCAGCCGTCTTGGCCCCGATATCCCCTCCAGCTGCATTGTCCACCATGTACTGCAAGTTTTTGTGGAGGGAATGGTAGAAACAATTCGCTAGTAGCCCCGGAGCGAGGTTGTGGTGGGGGCACTGCCTCTGAAGGTCCTTGAAGCGTTCCCAAGCCTCATGAAGAGGCTCGTGCGGCAGTTGGGCAAAAGAGACTATCTGGGACCGGATGTCCTGGGTCTTCTGATGGGAATAATATTTCCCAATGAATTTGGAGTATACTTCTGTCCAGGTTGTGAGAGAATCTGGGGTGAGGGTCATGAGCCACGCCTTAGCTCGGTCTTTTAATGTCTCCGGGAAACACCACATTTTGAGCTCGTCTTCGCTCAACCTGTGTAAAGGAAACGTTTGGAGGACGTTGTAAAACTCCCGGAGAAAGTGGAGTGGTTCCTCGTTGGCGAGCCCGTGGAATGATGGGAGCTAATTGTAGTGGACCACCTTCAGCTCATAGTTGCGGGTGGCTTGTGACAACCGGATGCAAGAGGTGGTTGGCCCTATCTTAGGTTGGGCCAGATCTCGGAGGACATTGCGAGGAGGTCGTTGTTGTTGTTGAGCCATGTTCGAAGTACTCCCCTCAGATGACTTGGGGGAAAGCTCGCCATTTTCGGGTGATTCGAGGGTCAGCTCCTCTAACAACTCCCTCAAACTCTCGTTAACCGACTTGTTGATTGGGGATAGTATACGTCCACTCCTGGTACGCATACACTCAAACAACAAAAAGGTTACGAGCACCAACGGTAAAGAAGAGAAAATAAAATGAAAACAAAAGAAAACAAAGAACTAACACCTAAACAAATAAAAAGAAAACAAGAGAAACACGAAAAATAAATTGAATAAGCGCACAAAATACGTCCTAAACCTTCCCCGGCAAAGGCGCCAATTTGTTGTAAATATTTTCCGGAGTTAAATCAAAAGATTCGACACCGGGTCGTGTCTCTCGAGGAAGGTCAACAGGATTATTTTGTACGATTATTCAAACACAAAAATGGAAAATAAAAGAAATGAAAATCTTAGACATTCTAAATCAAAATTTGGTTGGTTTTGAATTATCAACTATTGCAAGAATTAAAATAAAGCAAGTAAATAACTAACGAGCACGCAGAACAAATAGGATTTAAGGAGCTAGGGAGTCGGGGATATCAGTTTAGGTTCGAGATGCAATTATCAAGCAAGCGATTGTTCGGTTAAGTGAGTTGACTAACCGGCACATTCAAGCACTCATTCTCAATAACTTTTCGTAACAAGAGAACAAACTGAAACGACCAACTATTAAGTCATTTAACACCTAGGCAATACAATTACGAACAAGCCTAGTTTTTACGAGCCTATTTCGACCGACTCCTCCCCTTTCGGTTCTAAGAGTCGATAAAATTGAACTAGAAGGTGATTAGTCAACTAGCCCGTTTAGAATTAACAACATCAAGCATGAATTTATCAAATCCAATTGAAACAATTGAAAATTTAAGTGTCACTCTTCAACAATAATCAAAACTCAAGAACAAATATTCGAGAACCCTAATACGATTAACTCGCACAAAGTGAACAATCTTAAGCCCGATAATCGCAAACGAATTCAAAACATTGATCTCCTAATCCCTAGCAATTGAATTTAGCTACTCATATTGAGATAATCAACACAATCATCCATAATCAAAACGAATAAATCCATAGATTAGATATAACGAAAAACTTACGATTAATGGAAATCGAGAAATAACCCGGTAAATAAGATTAATCTGCGAGAAATAGCAAAATCCGAAATCCGATCCGTGTTCTACGTGCAAAATTAACAAAAGAAAAATGAAAAAGAGCAGTTCTTCAAACTTAAGGAATGAAAAAATACTTGAAAACCTAGGCTCCCCAAAAAGAATAATAATCCCCATCGTTTTATGAAATCTGCTAATTAAAATCTGAGTTCACGTGGGTCGCGGCCGCGGAGAGGCTCGCAGGCTGCGGCGATGGGAAGCTCCGCGGCCGCGAGAAGTCCCATGGCCGCGAGATTTCGGCTCTGAAGTTCCGGGTTTGCTGCGCTGTTTGCTCGCCGCGGCCGCGGTGAAGGAAAGCTCGCAGCCGCGGCCTTGAAGTCTGGGCGCGACGGGGAAAAAAATTGCAGGTCGCCTGGGGAGGATGGTCGCCGCGGCGTGGAAAGGGGGCTCGGTGCGGCGCGGAAAGGTCTCGCGGCGTGGCAGACATCATCCTCGCGTCGCGGCACCTGTTTCACGGCGTGGAGCAGACGGTCTTCAGCGGCGCGGAGTTGCAGTTTGCCGCGGCGCGGCGGAGGTTCGCGGCGTGATGGTTGGAAGCACCGCGGCGTGACGGCTGAGAGTACGCGGTGTTGGGGAATTTCTGTCACGGCGTGCAGGCCTTTCTGGCGGCGTGGAGGAGACGTTGCAGCAGCGGCATTGAGCTTAGTGGCGCGGAAGGAGTGAATTTCTGCAGCTGCGCGGCGGCATCCTCATGGCGAGGTAATGGTCTTGCAACGCTGAAGATGGAGGTGTTGTCATGATGGTGGAAGGTAGAGGTGCTGCCGGGACGTGAGAACTTTTGATACGTCCCGAGGTCGAGCAATGATCGGTGGAGGCTTGACGAGCGACTGAATGAGTTCCGATGTGTTGGGGTCGCCTGAGGTCGACGAATGACCACGATCTTGGATTGCTTCTTGGGTGTCGCCAACGAAGTGTTGAAGATGATGATTTTCGGTCAGAATATAGAGGAGAATCGTATGATATGGGCCAAGAGCTTTAGCTTCCTTGGATTGCCCGGTCCATTAATCGATAAAACTAAATCTTCCTGGAGCCTTCCAACCTGCACACCACTAGACGAAAACAAACACGGAGAAAACTAAGAAAATAGACGAAAAACACAAAAAGATTCTAAAATAGAGAAAACACACGACATGAAACGAAACGGACCAAAAATAAGGGAAAAGACATATAATGAGGGAAAAAGAAAGATAAAATAAACACGAAAAACGCAACAAAAATGGGACAAACACCTAGCTGCCAATGTTAGAGAGGAGCTGATTAATTTACTAAGAGAGTTTGTGGACATATTCGCGTTCAATCCCGATGACCTGAGGAATCAATACGGACCTGGTAGTACACTGCCTAAATATCGATGAAATGATACCGATCAAGCAGAAGAACATGTATCTGGTGAGGAGTTGGATGTTGTCATCGAATAGAAGGTCAAAACAATACTAAAATGGGACACATTAGACAAATCAAGTTACCTGAGTGGTTGTGTAATGCGGTCATGGTAGAAAAAAAATAGATGTTAGATATTGTGATGGAATTGGAGGTAGACAAGATACTAAAAGTGGGACGAATTAGACAAATCCAGTTCCTCGAGTGGCTGTCTAATGCGATCATGGTAAAGAATTTATAGAAAAATGGAGGATATGTATGGACTTCCACAACCTCAACTAAGCATGCCAAAAGACCATTATCCCTACCACTGATTTACCAATTGAAGGAATCAACAACATGGTGCGAGTTGTTGACTATGATGAATTCTTCACAAGGTTATCATCAACTACATTGGCACTAAAGGACTAAAAATATGTTAGCTTCAATGCGACAAAGGAAACATACTATTATTTGGTCGTGTCCTTTAGTAAAAAAAATGTAGCGGTCACCTATCAGTGGATAGTAAGTTAGACGTTCAGGGGAAAATTTGGGAGAAATATGGCAATTTATATCAACAATATGCTTGTAAAAAGTTGAAAGAAAGTTGATCACATTAGCGACCTAAAGGAAACCTTTATCACTCTAAGTTCGATAGGATGAAACTAAATCTACCTAAGTTTAAATTTAACGCTAGGTTAGGAAAACTCTTGGGTTACATGTTGACATAGAGAGAATTTGAGGTCAATCGTGCAAAAGTGAAGGCAGTCATTTATATAAAACCACTGAGGAGCCTGCGTGAGGCATATATGCTTATAGGCCGACTGAATAGTCTTATCTGGTTCAGTGCTCAATCAGATGAAAAGAGGTTTCTATTTTTTAAACATTAAAGATGAAATCAAAGTCTTAGGGATTGTCAAGACCCAATAGGCTTTTAATGACTGAAAGAATCCTTAGCCAAGCTGTCGTTGCTCATGAAGCCCTAAACAGTGGATGAGCTGGTCTTGTACCTTCCAGTAGGTCGCGTGGCGGTAAGCCCAGTATTACTAAAGGAGGATGGACATCAACAAAGGTCGATATACTACACTAGCTGATTAGTACATGGGGCCGAATATAGATACAAGGTCATGTAGAAGGTCTCGCTCACTCTGGTTGTCACGGTGCACAAACAACGACCTTCTTTTCTGGCTTACATAGTGAAAATGTGCACCAACCTCCCACTAGGTGATACCTTAGAATGAACTACATCCTTGGGTCGCCTGATGAAGTGGGCCATAGAGATGGGGGAGTACGACTTGAATTTTGAGCCGCAGAGAGAAATTAAGGCTCAAATCATGGCATATTTCATCTCGGGGTTCATAACTAATGAGAATGTGAGGAAATTGTTAGTATATATTGATGGGAGCTCAGCTTTAGGCGAGGAAAGAGCGAGAATCCTAATAATCACCCAAGAGGAAGATTATTTAGAGTTTGCTGTAAGACTGGTTATCTGAGCTTCCAATAATGATGTCAGTTACGAATGCACGATCAAACGGATTCAACTCGCACTCTTTGTGGATGTCCACAAAGAGTTAATCCATTCTTACTTGTACCTCGTGGTGGAACAGGTTTTCATAGACTTTCAGCAAAAGGTGGAAAGCATTGTTGAAGGGGTTTTTATCATTGGAATTAGTCCTATACCACATACTGAGATTGCCCAAGCATACATGTTTGCCAGTGTTGCTAGATCATTGGTGAATTGCATCTCAAAGTCAGTCACTTTGCTACAAATGAATCGCAGCATCCTGGAATCGATCATGGCCTTAGATGAATGAGACTATTTGCAGACTGACATAATGAATTGTAGGCCAGGAGGAATAGGCCAACAGAATGGATGGTTGATGAAAGGTGTTGCAGCGAGCCCTTTAATACTTCTTGAACAATGAAAGACTTTACAAGAGACTGTACGTTCGACCACACTTAAAGTACATGTCTACAGTTAAAGGAAAATATATGATATAAAAGATACAAGAGGGTGTTCGTGGTAGTCACATCGACTCCAGTGCATTGGTCAGAAAAGAAATGAGAGTAGGGTACTTCTGGTCGTCCATGCGATCCATGCACTAGAGATGGTTGCTAATGCCAGCCTTGACAGAAGTATGATGTGGTCAGTCACCAACATGAAGAGAAGATTATACCAATGATCATGCGATTTTTTTTTTCCAGTAGGGAATTGACTTTGTGGGACCTCTACCACAAGCAACAGGATAACAAAAGTGGTTCTTGGTCGCTAGTGTCTATATGTAAGTGTGTCATCGTTTATTTTGATGATATTCTTAACTATAGTCGTACAGTTGAGGATCACTTGCAGCATGTTCGTTCGGTATTACTTATTCTTTGTGACAAGTCCTTTTTTGCGGCACCCCGCAAATGTTTGTTTCTGGTAAATTCCTTTCTTTTCTTGGGTTTTGTGATTTCAGCCGATGGTATACGTGTAGATGAACGTAAGGTGATAGCCATTCAAGAGTGGCCGACTACATCTTTTACCGAGGCGTGTAGCTTTCACGGCTTAGCTTCATTCTATCGCTGGTTCATCTCCCACTTCAGTTCCCTGACAGCCCCGATTACTGACTGTCTCACAAGAAAGACCTTCACCTAGAAGTCGACTGCCGAGGAGGCCTTTGCTCTCATCAAGAGCAAGCTTACGTTTGCTCCCGTTCTAGTACTACAAGATTTTTCTCGGCCTTTCGAGCTTTCTTGTGATGCCTCGAAGGCGTGGATTGGTGTCGTGCTTAGTCAAGACAGCCGCTTGTATCGTTCTTTTGCACAATATTGTCCGGCCATCGATCACGGTACAATACATTGATATGGAGTTCTACGCCATGGTTCGGGCAATTCGTCATTGGCGACATTATATTTTCCACAGAGAGTTTATTCTGTATACGGACCATGATACCCTACGGCATTTGGCATCACAGTATAATATTTTGGCGAGACATACGAAATGGACGGCCTTTCTGCAGCAATTTATGTTTGTCCTAAAGCATTATTCCGGGAGGACGAACAAGGTTGCCGATAACTTGAGTCGCCGCGCGTGCTTGTTGACAAATATGCACGTTTCTATGGTCGGGTTTGAGATGCTTCGCGATGTTTATTCGGACGACTCTTTTTTTTCTGAGTGATTGTGCGACGCTTGGCGGACGGTCCTTTTGAGGACTACACCTTGACTAATGGGTTCTTGTTTTGCGACTATGTATGCTGGACTGTAGCCTACGACAAAAGATCATAGCCGAACCTTGTGGCACCGATCATGTTGGCTGTGACCGTTCGGTCGAGTTGGTGGGCCGTTCATATTTTTGGTCATGCCTTCGACGTGATGTCGCACAGTTTGTGGGTCGTTGTCGGGTTTGCCAGGCTTGAAGGTGGTCGCGACTAATGGAGGCTTGTATCGCCTTCTTCCGATTCCGTCTCAGCCATGGCTTCCGATTAGTATAGACTTTGTATTGGGTTTACCACGTACACAACGAGGGTTTGATTCGTTTTTTGGGGTTGTGGATCTTTTTTCGAAGATGGTGCACTTCATTCCTTGCAAACGCACCACCGATGGTGCAATTCATTCCTTGCAAACGCACCACCGATGTCGTTCACGTGGCCGAATTATATTTTTGAGAGATATATCATTTGCATGGCCTTCCTTCGTCAATAGTCTCAGATCGTGATACTCACTTTTTGAGCCATTTTTTGCGTAGTTTGTGGCGAATGGCCAATACCTGACTGGATTTTAGCAGCGCGTATCCTCAATAAACTGATGGGCAATCAGAGGTATCGCTCGTTAGGAAACTTACTGATATAGCCCTATAAAGATGTGTTGATCCATAGGCCCTCTCTTCCATTTATAGACTATCAGCTCCGCCAGCGCATCGACTCGGGTCGATGAGGTGTTTAAGTCGACTCCGTTCAAAGTCGATCCGGC